CAGCTTAATGTCGAGGGAGGAGTTCCCTGCGGAGCTCTTTGTGTCTAAATAATTACTGGCCTCAGAAGGAAGAGCGTGCCGTGCAGAAAGGGTGATGATGTGCGTTAGACATCACCATCGGCTATTTGTTCTGCCGTCCAGGCTCCTTTGCCTTCTGGTTCATGCAAGCCTCACGGAGACCCCCCCCTTATCCTTTGCAAGCAACTTTAGGGTTGCCGACATTCCTCTGTGCAGAATGTATAAACCCGTCCTTTGGGAGCAGATCGCGCTTCCACGGTGGATGTCAAGGCACAAGCACAAGCATGTAAAGCCATGCACTTTATTGTTAGCCGACAAGGAAGCCTGTGTTGGATATTATGCACTCATACCCACAGACACGCATGCACACTCACACTATAACACACATGCACACTTGTACTAACACACATGCCCCAGTCCCCATGCAGCCTGGAACAGCAACAAAGCTCTCCCGTACTGTTGCCAGGGTAACTTGGTCGGGTCAAACCAGTCGAGCGGTGTCTCCCCCCCCCCCCCCCCACACACACACACACCACCTCCACTCACTTCTCTCTGTGTCTGTTTTTCTGTCCATCCTCCTCTCTCTCTCTCTCTCTCTCTTCTCTGACATCACGTTGCCCCAGCTCATCGGATCTTAAGCCACTTCTTCTCCCCTGTTTGGTCACAGTCACATGTCTGCCCCGGGCTGAACAGGGTGAAATGAGGATGATTCACCACTCTGGCCACTTTGTCCGACTGTAGAACTATTTTGAACCACAACATAAAAAATAAAACCTGGCCAAATCACAAGGACATGTCGAACGTTCAGTATTTTCACCATGCTGGTTGCAGGGGCATTGAGGGTTAGGAGATGACATCGTGCGTCTCCAAGTTACAAAAGAACGTAACGGACTTAACGAAACGCTAACTGCACATATGCCATTCACACCGACAGCAAAGCATTTACTTTGCAATTATGTGCATCAGTGTTTTACTATTTTCATTTGTAAATGGGTTAATAATACAGAGTGTGATAAGGCTGCTCCATTATGTGTAGAAATGATTTTTAATAAACATTTTATAAAAGGAAAAAAAAACACTTCAGGCCGTTGGCATATGGAAATTATTTCACAACTAAGCCGTTTCTGGCAGGGACACAGTGATGGATTACCCTTCTTCTCCTGCAGCTATTATAGATCTATTGTTGGAGTCGTGGACTGTGAATAAATGGAAATGACACAGATGGACAATTGAACTCTGTTTATTACTGATGGAACACAGCAGACATGAGAGAGCAATCAGAGCAGATGCAAATGTGCTAAACAAAGTCTAATTGCTTTGTGGTGCTCCAAAATTCTGGCAAACGCATATCTTTCCAAATATATGGAAAAGCGTGACACAGTTCTACATGAGACTCGCATCCGTTTCACAAACCTTAGCAGTCTGTGTTCCACGTTGTTCCCTAAACTGGTATGAACTGTACATGACACTAGTGTTTTGTCTTGACATGTAACCACGGGGTCACAGAAGGTTAGCAAAGAGATGTGTGCTGAAGGCGTGGCTTCTCATGTTATTGTCTAAGATAAGATACGTTTAGCATTGTCCTGAAATGAGGTAATTAGCTTGTACTTTGTTTTCTTAAGCAAGCAATAAAAACTAGAGGAGTCATGCAGTCATTCAGGGAGATTTAAGAATCAACACCAGCATTAGTTGGTAAAAAGATGTGAAACGATAGTTTACGTTGTAACTGGGCTACATTTGTTTTAAAAGGTTAAAGTCAGATCACTGAATTGTCATAGACAATAAATGTACGACAATGGCTGAATGAAGGCCTCAGCTTGCACAGAACAGGAAACGCAATTAAAGATGAATGTGTCAAACTGTCAGATAATCCGAGTAGTCCTCGTGTATTGCTGTTTTCTCTCTGGATGGATGAGGTAGATGATTACCACGGGGATTTCCTCCGGAAAGCTAATGAAACTCCACATTTCTGCAAGTTGACGCTTAATTGATCCCACCACTCAATGCTGGTTTGTTCACAAAGACATGTTTCTATTAATACCCAAGGAGATACTGACCTGATGTGTATTGATGGACCTTCATACTGCAGCTCGAAATACTCTGCCTAAAAGGAGGAAAACACCTGGTCTCCGCATCCTTTCTTGTCAGGCTGTAGCCGCTTTGTCCTCGTAGCAGCTCTTTAAAGATGGCCCCTCCAGGTAATGAATTCCATGACAAGTGGCCTGCTAATACCGTCTGGTCCCTCATGAGAAATTAATGTGTTGCCTTGTGAGATGAGAAGAGCTTTGAGCTGCTGTGTGATGTCAGCGTGATGGCATTAAATCCCTCTGTCAAAGTGGTGTCGGCCCGTGAGCTGGGTCAGCCTGGTGACCTCTTGTTACAGCGTCCCAGAGGACGCTGAACTAAACTGTCACTGTTGTCATTGTGGGCTACAGTGTCACTATTCTGAGCTTCATGCAGCGGTCAGTGTATAGAATTATGTTATTCAAAACATGTTTGATCTTAAGTGTCACGGCCATTTCTTCCCTCTTAACTAGAGACTTAACACTTGATGTGTCTCCAAACACATCCGAGGAGGTTGGGAATATTACCAGCAAGTAAGAAAATAAACAATTCAGCTACAAACATGTTGCACAAAATAAACAAAGCAAAGACTCCTGGACTAGAACGCTGTAACAATGTGTTGGTGGTTTTAGGATCTTTGCACTTACTAATTCAATTTCAGATACATCCTGCCTGCACTTAAAATGCTTTTTTTCATGGAAGCTTTCTTCCTTTACATTGCCAGTTTATTATTTTTTTGCGGTGCATTACACATGAACACCTTTTGTCACGGAAGGTGTCATTCATTAGCAGTTATGGGGCTAATGCGCTAGCCATCTGCTAACCCCCACCCTCGGAGCCAATGATTTGATTATTCATGCGGAGCCCTAAGCCGACTGCAGTGTGGCTGTGAACAGATGTTGAAACGTGAACTAGCAGCCCTCGGCCTTGAACTCCACGTGGCTTCATGCAGCGGCGTGTCGTCCTCTGCCGTTCAGACGCGCAGTGATCTCCTCTGACAGACTTTACCAAGCAGCAGCAAGGCACCAGCTCCACTCGGACCTAATGAGATCTGGAAATAATAGGCAGCAGAAGCCCAGGAGGAGGAGACAATTCAATCACTAGACGCACAAGCAGGCAGGCAGGCAGGCTGCTTGGCTGGCAGCAGTGTTTTCCACTGGCTGGCAGATGTGCATGTGTGTCAATTTGTGTGCCTCTTCATCATATCCTGCTAGCCATGTCCTTTACTTTCTCCACACCGCCAGTGTGTCGAGAGCTAAAGGCCTTGGCTGCCAGTCGTACTTTAAACATTCATAAAGTAGCATCACCAATGTTAGCCGCTGTTCTTTAACGTAGTAGAAGAAAAGTCACAAATGGAGTCAGTCGGACTGACATTCAGCTGTTCTATCGTTCTCCTGCCGAGGTCGTGGCCTGGTTTTAATGTGGTGTAGTTATGTTCTGGGAACTGATCCGCACGGCTTGTGTGTCAGGTTGTTGGTTGTGTGCATTGAAGTTGGTTGGACTTTTAGCGCAGTAGCTAGCTAGATTAGGTGTCTTAACTCTGCTCATAGATGGCCGACACCAGCATTCGTCATGTGTAGTGGTCCTAAATCTCTACAGCCGACTAAGTGTTTGCTCGCAAAAGGCCTATTTGTGATTAGTATACTTTAAACCTTGAATGAAAAAATGCAGTTTCAGGTGAGCGTGTTAAAATACTATGTGCTTAGTGCTGACTTACATTAGACTGAACGACAGCTCTTTGGTTGCTTTGACATATCGCTGCTTCTTTTTGGATCATATTTATAACCGGGAGCTTTAAGAAGAACCTTTAGGCTGGAACTGCGTTTTCAAGTGGGAAACTGGTGATCATTGTAACTCCAATACGACAGGAACACTGCATAAAGCCACATGGCGTGTTATGGGCACTTGTAGAATGCTAACATGCTCTCTTGTTGTTAAATATTAGTTTTCTGTGCACTACACTGACAAGAAATGCCAGACTTGAACCATCTCAGTGCATCACAGCATCTAAAGGGAAGCGAACACCAGACACTAGCATTGGTAGGACACACACGCAGCGTGATGCAATTTTGTCTCTCTGTGAAATACTGGTCCGGAGGTGACTGGGGGAGGGGGCGAAGAAAAAACACTGAGTAAGATACCAGGCAGTTACAAATGATGTTTTGAATTCCTATAAACAAACACCCATACAGGCAGTAACCAAAGCATGAGGAAAGAGTAGTTAAAGGGGGGAATTGCTCGGTCATAGTGTAAGTGTAGAGTGACTGTATTTTCCCCACTGTGTGTTAAAGCAGCTCTTCATATCATAAGCTCATTATATATGAGCCATAAAGTGATTATGGACTCCAGTAAGGCATTGTTCTGCTGTTGACAGGATTAAAGATGACTAGAGAGAGAGAGAGGGAGTGGGAGAGAGACTCTCGCCGCTCTATGGCTGAGTGTTGCTTTGTATAAGCCAGCAGTGAAAGGGGCCGCGCGCTTGACTGTTTGCCAGCTGCGGCACACCCTACCTCCACTTCTTCTACACATTCACGTTCCGCCCCTTTGTCTGCCCATCTGCATATCTGTCTGCTTGGCTCTCGTTCAAAGGCAGCGCTGTGAAGTGTCGCTTTTAATGAAATGCTTGAGACAATGAAAACAGTAAATCTCTTTTGTCAGTGTGGTATTGATTGGTATCTGTGTCACTGGGTGTGAGTGCAGGATTCCTGTGAAAACGAAAAGTAAGGGCTGTGTGCAACAGGTTATATGGCATCCTCTGACACTGCCTTGGTGAATTTGAATCACTGTTCTTATCAAGATACACAACATTGTTAAGACCATATATGGATAGATCAACCACTCCATATATATATATATATATATATATATTTTTTTTTTTGTGTCTCGATTTCTAATGTGCTTTCGTCTTCTCTCTGCAGAAGAAGGCCGGAGTTGTGAAGACGCAGGAGAAGGAGCGGTGGAAGGAGAAAAAGGTGGCGAAGCGGCAGAAAAGGGAAGATGAGGAAGTGGAGGAGGAAGAGGAGAACGTCGAGCCGGTTGTGGACGCCCTGGAGAATGGGTTCCTTCATCACGCCCAGCGGGAGCAGGAGAGAATGACCGAGAGGCTGCTGAAGAAGACTTACTCCAAGAAGAACAAAATGGTGAGTGGATCTGACCCCATAGCCTTTTTTTTTATTCAAGAAATTCTCACTTGACAGTAGTTCAACCTAGGTTACAAAAGGGACTTTTTGGTTTGTGGATATCTTGCTGACAAAATGAAAGATGTCTGATGTGCTGGCTTTTGTCATGAAGCTGAGTTGGATCTTCTGGCACGACTTCACCTGCTTCCAAAGTGCACGGAGAAGGGTACAAGTCTGAAGAGGTCAAAACTCCAGCAACATGTGTCGTGTATATAGGACATCTTTATTGTATGACTGTGGCTTTTCCATGAAGGCAGATGAGCAAGTCTGACTGCTTTGTTGTGATTTGGCAGTGCTGTTCTTTCCATCTTTCTTTAATGAAGACCAGGACAGGCTTACCTCCAAATCTATACTTTCTATTCATCTAACAGCTGGTCCACATTCCCTTTTTAAGCAGAACAAGCTCTACAGTGAATCTTCAGAAAAGAGGTGAACAGTGTGAACGGAGCCTTTACGCTCGTGTCAAATGTGACTTTACTTATTCTGGTGTCAGCAGGGACTTTGTACCGCAGTGCTGAGGTTGTCAAGCGACACTTCAGTCCATTCTATCAGTCCACCATCAAACCCTTCTCAGTTTTCAACACTTGAGAAAGTAATTTTCTTCAAATACTCCTTTTGTGAGCAGTCTCTAAAGCCCATTCAGAGCTGGCAAACATTGACTTTCTATTGCTACAGTCATTTTGAAATTTTTTTTTTTATCTCTTTCATTGTTTTTGAAATAGAAGCTTTTGACACTACTGACGTTGCCCCCTCAGGAAGTCCAGGTTATTGACAGAATCTTTTTTTTCTTTGAATTTTCTTTGTCAGCGGCAGCTTTTAGTAATTGGTTATCACGTCTCTCACACTGGTTGGTGGTGACGTTGAGCGCTTCCTTCTGCTTGCTGCTGTCTAAAGTGACTTGATGTTCTGCATCAGTAGTGACTAATGCAGTGCCCGGTCAGAACGCTTGGCCTGTGTGTGGACGCCATACTGTCCCCTTTTAGTTCAAGGCCCCAGGCGCAGAAGGCCAACAGTCATCTGACCCTTGAACTAAAAGGGTCAAAAACAGCTATTGATTTATTAAGATGTTTGATGATATGAAATATATTGAATGATGTTACTATTCTTACTCATTGTACCCTGAAATAACTTACAAAAGACCCCCAAAGCACTTTACTACAACTCAGCCGTATAGCCTATACTACTTACTGTGTAGCTCTACTTCACAGGAAAACATTGTAGTACTACGTTTACTTGACAAACAACTCGTACTGGTCACTTTGCAGATTATAAAGTTATATAGGAGAGCATGGATTTAATTAGCGGATGCATTTTGCAGGCGGTAACGTTATTAGTGTTGTAAGTTAGTATCAAGTCTTACATCAGGGACATTTACTCACGGGGCGGGGGGGAACACACCCAAGCGGCGCAGTAGTAGACTACTGGCTGCAACATGGATGACACTTAGCAGAGGCATTCATCTCCAAACGGGCATATTACCGGCTGGCTTTGGCATAACCACCACGGTTATAGAGAAGAGAATGGATTTAATGAGTGCAGTTTGAAGTTGGCTAAACCTTACAACATTTGTCTGCTTGTGCTCGTTGACTCCAGGGAAATAAATAAAAGTTTGGTAGTAACGTTATCTAGCATTCATGTAGCGTTGGCATAGGGTTAGGCGTCAGCATGTAATCACTTGTTGATACAAGGTGGATGGCTAGTACTTGTCTAAAACTACTGGCACAGCAACAACAGACCAGCTAATACAGGGTTGAGGCCACAGTCGGATATGAAGCGCGACACACTGTATGTGACTTGTATTCACTGATGAGCCCCGATGCTACCAAACATGGCTTCATAAACAAGTTGCTGGTAAGCTGCCTTCAGGTGGATTTAGCTCGCGACCCCATTCTTGTTTTTCTTCACGACTTTTCTGTTTGTTAATGCGGAGAGAGGGCTGCCAACATCCCGGCTTCAAGCACACTGCTGAGCCCACAGACTCGGAGTCTGTCCCAGCGAGATAGCCCATCGATGTGTTAACAGTTTGTTTAAATGGGTGGATGTTTTTTTTCATGCTCCTGTCTGAGGCCAAGCGCTACCATAGTGCTGCTGAGGATAAGAGGGGAAATGTAGTCAGGAAGCCAAACTAAATAATGAGGCTGTGTAGCCCGGAGGCCTCCTCCACAGATAAAAATATCTCTCTGAGATAAGATTTCCTGAGGAAGTTAACATGGCTGAAAATGAGTTTGGCTGTGATATTTAGGTTGCTAAGAGACAGTGAAAGATTATGTATTTAGCTGATGCTCTTATCCAGAGTTTAAGTGCAATGGGCTGCAATTACTGAACCAGATCTACATTCTAGTTCGGATAATAACTCCGTAATATTTCCAAACTGCTGCTGTCATGTGAAAACCTTGTAACTTCAGCTGTGCTGAATTTCATATTTTGCAGTAACTTCATCTGAAGATTTACTGCACATATTCCCAAGGACATTAATATAGTAGAGATCACGAAACCAGCTCAAAACCCACAGGAAGACTAAAGCTGAAACTATGTTTTTTAATGTTTCCACCCATCAGCAGTCAGATACTTTTTTGTCCCTGGAATATATAATGGGGAAGTAAAGAATCGGGGGTAAGAAAGTTTAATATTTCATATAAAATGTTTGATCTTTGGTCGTAAAATAAGCAGTATTTTTTGCTTCCCAAGTGATATTACTGCATATTGAATAGCTCCATCTTACGTCTATTTATTTGACATTTTGCTTGTTCTTCCTTAAAGCAATTTGAAGTAATATCTGGAGGTACATCAACAAATGCACCTCCCTGAAGATTTAGGTTTTTTTTCACTGCCATCAGCCAAACTACAAATATTATATTACATTTTTAAGGAATGCATAACAAGATGTTCATTTTGTCACAGTGGAAGTGATGAGGTAACAGGGGTCTCAGGGTCCTGGAGGCATACAGGTCCTCAAAGGACGGCAGATTGCAGCCAATCACGCTGCAGGCTGCCCTTGTTCTTGGTTGAGGCAGCTGCGTGCGTACCAGACTCTGATGGAGGAGGTGAGGATGGACTCTCATTGACTTTGGCAGGTTGAACTCCTTCAGCTGCCGCTGGAAGTACATCCCTTGCCGTGCTTTTTTGATCTCCCTTGCCAGATGGACTGATTTATACATAGGCCCTGTTGCTCTTACTTCATTTCTAAACTTTCCAATCCCTTCTTTTTTAAATCTCAGTGTCTAGCTCAAGCAATGTTTGACTGTATCACTTTGTGAGTAGCTAAGACATCTTTTAACCTGCGCAGGCTTTAGTTCTCAGCATGCTGAAACCTTCAGCGTGCCTTTGATGCATAACAGAACGCCCAATTCCCAGCTACACTTTCACTGTTTCCAGTATTAACAATTATGCTTTGGGAAACAGCAACACCCAAATTCAGTCATAATCACAGCGCAGTTAAGACTCGGCACATGATCATGTTGCATGACTAATTCATTATAGATAACATTATTAAAATTGAAACGGTTGATCCACACCTTCGAGTAGATCCTCTCTGCTTTAGTTAGAAGCATAAAAGGTGTTTGATCACCACACCTTTTGTGATATGATTTAATATGCAATATAAATTGTTTCTAAATAGGAATGTGTGCATGTGTTGCTGAATGTCTTACAAAACCTGCCCCGTGAAAACCTTTTGTAGGAGTGTATGAAGAATTTGATTGATTTCATTCTCAATTATATATCCTTACAAATACAGACAATAAATCTATCAGGTGTCGATAAATGAGTTGTTGCTGAGTCCAATCTCTCTGGGTCAAGTGCACATCAAAGAATTGTTAGTCAGCTGTTTTCCAGAGCAGCAGATCACAGCAGCAGTAACACAAGTATTGTTGTGACTCTGGAGAGGAAACTGTTTTGAGTGCTTGATACCAGCTTAGGAGAGAATGATAGAGCGAGTAATAAATAGTTATCTATTCTTACTTCATCCTTAACGCCTGTCATGTCTTCATGCGCTCTAAGTGTCTTTGATGGATGGAATCCCATATAAAACACACTCGCTTCCACGAGGAGCCCTTTGTGGATTTCATCTGCCACAGAAAATGTCCTTGGCAATAGCGCCGCCAGACTCTGTCGTGTGGTTTATATTCACAGTTCATTTAACAATCCCATGTAAACATTTACTCTTACTTACATCCAAGAGGACAAACTGTAGATCATTTTATCCAACAAACACTAAACAGATGGATGTGCAGACGTAAATAAACACTTTTGTTGTAACTGTGGGAAAAGGGCAACACAGAGCAGCCATCTGAGCTTCAAAACAGGCGTTTATGGCAGATGAAATAGATGGAATACACTGATAGGGACGTATACTTTAAGTCTCCACCACAATGATCAGCTGCACTTGGAGCGTTACTACTCTGTCCTTCAGGCTGCCCTCTTCGTGTCCAGCTTAGTTTCCCCCATCCATATCTCTTTTCTGTCTCAAGTCAGAGGGTTCCCTGGTGTATGTCACACACTAAGACCCACAGGCGCGGTGATGTGCTGGCACCCACGAGCCAGAAGCACGCCGGAGGACAGGAGCTGCAGTGACAGAGCGGAGTGTGTCACAGAGAGGCAGTGTGGTGGGGCGGGGCACTTGTTCTAATTGCAAGGCTCACAGGACCTCAGGAATGGTCGAGCATCGTGTGTGTGTGTGTGTGTGTGTGTGTGTGTGTGTGTGTGTGTCAGTCAACTGAAATAAGCAATTATTTTCAATGGGTTAATAGGCCCTTAAAGGTGCAATGTGTAACATCTAGACATGTTGACGTTTAGTTTAAAACATTTAAACATGAACATTATCATCAGAATGTGAAGAGTCAAATACGTCACGCTAACTGGCTAGCCACGGCCTGTCCTGTCAAATATAGGCTACTGCTTGTACCACCGGAGGCGATAGAAAGTCACTGTAGCATCCAGTCTGCCTTGTCAATAATGCATCCATGGTTCATGTGCGTTTGCTTTATTTGCCCTGCTGTTAGTTGGTAGTCATCATAATAATAATAATAATAATAATAAGTGATGACTGTGAATTTAGATTGTATGGACCCAGTAGTGAAATGCTGCCCCGAGTGACAGTTCACACAGTCGTTATCAGCTCACCTCTTGGGCTACTGTTCAGAGAACCAATAAAAGCACAGTCAGTTTGCTCCCTTACTCAGCCAAAGATGGCACAAAACATACACACACCTGTGTAGAGCAAAGCATTATCAACACAAGAACATTTGATAACAATCACCCTTTTGTCATTGACATTGTAGTTCATAATAATCTCCATAAACCAACACACTTGTATGACCTGCATTGTCCTCTCATTCCCTGCTGTAAGATACTAGAAACGCAGCTTGCAGGAAGCATTTACACGATTATGACCTTCAATATGTTTCAAAAGGGAGTCATGAATAACGCATAATGCTGAGTCGCTCAAGCAACACACTGATAGCTACACGTACACATCACCATCCCCGTCCATTAGTGGCATACCCTGTGCTGTACACACTCCGCACTAGCAATGTGATGTAGGGAAACATCTCTGGACACTATTGCCTTACTATCGTTCAAGCAGGTGGGTATCAAGTGTCCTGCATGCCCCTGTCCTGTCATATCTAGGTATGTGTATAAGCAGTAAGCCAGCCGGAGACAGATCAGATTAGCTGGGGCATTAACAGTGCACTGGAGCATAGTTCAGGGGCAGCCGGGGAGCTGCGATAGAGAGTACTGCCGCCCATTGGCAGTGTGGCAGCGGTAACAGCGAGGGATCAGGATGACTGATAACGGCGAGGTGGTTGTTATCTGGGGAGCCGCGACCCTGAGCGGCAGCAGCTCGGCTCAGGAGACAATAACTCCGCTGGCTAACCAGCTCCCAGCCCATTTGGCTGGAGATCAAGGTGAACCCTTTCACCCCGAGTCAATCTGGGCAAGTGGATTGAGCTGCACTGTTGTTGACTCACTTTAATAACACAAATGTCATATACTGTAACTTAAATGTACTTTGCACATAGCTTTTTTTTCCTCCTCCATTCAAGGTAATATTTGTTCCCCTTATTCTCCGAGAACGACCACATTTATTTCACTGTGGTCGTTTCACTTTATTTCATCTGCTTATAATGTTGTGGCTGATTGAGGAACTTAAACAGTGTCTAGTGTTGCACTTGTAATGAGATCAGCCCTAAAATGTGACATCCTTGATGTAATTATAGAGTCGGAAAAAAAGCTTGTTAGTGGTAACATGATAGAAAGGGCCTTTACTCCTGTTACTCCGGTTAACACTGCAATTTAACAAAGAGCATTATTAGATGAGTAGATAATGAGGTACGCTGCTGAGGTGTCTGCAGGCACATGACATGTGAGAGTGTGTGCAGAGAGACGGAGATGAGTGGAGGAGCGTGACTTGTAATAGACCCTGACAGATCAATTAACGAGCTGCATGTAACATCGACATGCATGCATGATCAAACGGCAGTGTGTCTCTTCCTCATCAAAGACCAACATGCATGTGCCTGTGTTGGACAGAGATACATATGAATCCTTGTTTATCTACTGCAGTTCAACCAAGCCTGTGTGAATCATGACTCTATTAAGAGGCCACCTTTTAAATGAAATGGGCTTGAATCAATGTAAATATACAGTGATACTGCAAATTAGGAGTTTAAAATGAGTAATTTATGACTTAATTAACTTCAATTGCTGCATTAGGAATTACAAGAACATTTGATGACACTCCAGCATAACATATAATATAGTAGCATGGGCATGTCATAAATGTAGAGAATAATAAAGCCAGCTAATTAGATCAGTGATCAGACAGTGACTAATGTATGTAATGTGTTGTAAAACTGCTTGCTCAAATTGTTAAGCACTTAAAAGTTCACACAGCTGCTTTTGTTAAGTAGTTGTTGGAGAATCAAAGTGAAGTATTCTTTGAGTCACTGATATATGAGTCAATCGAAGGTAACTACTTCCTATAGATGATAAATAATTGCAAAAATGAATTCTGCAACTTAAACTGAATACGTGTTTACACACGTACCTTCCTCTCTGTGTGTTTTCAAGCTTCCTAACTGCAGACGACCTGAACACAGTGGATTTAGTGTGATGATGGGGTTTTCCTCTGAGGCTGGTGGTGTTGACTTTGCCCGGGATGCCGAGGGGAAGGCTGGGGAAGAATGAGGGAACAGTCCCAACGGTGTTGAAATAGAGGTGGGGAGAGAGAGTGCTGCTCCAGTCCCAGGGGACGGTCTGGAGTTGAACCGGGTTCCAATCTGAACTGGCCCCAGATAGTGAGAGATGGTTAATGCAGAGGATATTCATTGAAAGATGTGACTGGTCTGTCAAAATGGATTGGAAAACTGATGCCTCATAGATACGTTTGACACGCTACGATATAAATGCCGCTGTGATAGATGGGACCCACAGGAGAAATCTCAACACACCAGAATTCAATGGGAAGACTGGTCAAATGACTTTGTCAGATTAGATAAATGCTACCTCCAGGAAAGAATTAAGCCCTCTCAGGATTTCTCCTCAAGATCCATAACCCCCTCCACTCCCAACGGCTACAGCCTCCCAACCCCTTAGACGAGGAGAGAGAGAGAGGCAGAAAGACCGCAGAGACAGAGACCGAAATAGAACTAAAGGGAAGCCAATGACAAAGCCAGACACCCTCTGCGCCTGCTATGCTTAGCCAGGTGAATATTGCATGGGACAGTGCACAGTGATTAATGTCAGGCCATGTAAGGTTCTTGACCGAGTTGCTGTACTGTAGGTCTACACGCGCACATAAACACACGTCCCATCACTTTTAACAAGCCACAGCCATTGAGATACAGCAGGGCTACTTCAGAGCAACCACTCTGGGGACAATTAGGTCTGGCAACATTAAATGACCAGGGATCTAAAGTCGCGCTCTGTTGGAGTTGAGGCTAGTGCATGCTGGGATTGGACTGGGTAGCAGAGGCAAGGAGGAACTCCTCCTGGATGTGTGCTTTCTGAGGTGTAGGTTTGTTTTTTTTCAGTGCAGTCGTTTTGGACTCGGGGGGGCAATTGTTTGCTGTCATACATTTGCCAGGACATCCTTTATCTGCGCTTTGCTAGTTGTGATTACTTTCTTTTTCTATTTAATTTATTAAAGTGGGACCTCCCCGGCTACATCATTTTCTGTCTTTGTATCTACTGGAGAATCTGCAGCTATAGCAACAGATGCATTGCCCCTAGTAGATGTTTAACTAGAACAGACAGAAGGGAGAGACACTTTATTACACTCCGTGCTTTGTGATTTACAGCATCATCGTGGTTTATTTATTACAATAATGGTCAGGGAGACGTTCAGAAAAGTGTGCTCCGGGAGATCTCGGGTGGAGTTTTATTCCTCCCTGCGAAAGCTTTCGGCTAAGTAGAGTGTCATAGGTTGAGCTCAGGTGAGGTCCGATTTATTGTGGAGCGCTTTCATCAAACAAGCTAATCACAAAGGTCTTCCTGCATCAAAATTGCTTTCAACAAATGGTAGCACTTCCTGTGTACTCAGAAAAAGATTCCCTGGAAACAGCAAAGGGGGCAGCAGGTGTCTGCAGATGTGAAAGCTTTCATGAGCTGTGTTCACCGACTGAAATGGGAATAATTCAGAAACAATTGGCCACAGTGTTTTATCAAAGCATGCAACACATGGTGAGTCACAATTTGTTTTCTGTGAGTTTAATGTGTTAGTCGTGTCTCAGCTGTTTCTGTGATTATCAAGAATTTTCAAGGACAGGGAGGGAACACACGGAATTCTGAAAAGTAGCCGTAGTACAAAATAATACTATCGGCCTTGAAAATCACGTATTGGTTAAACCCTAGACGCAGGACTGTAACGCAGCACTGTCGAGGGTCAGGTTCCCTGGCTACCTCTTTATCCGGAGGCTGGCAGCCGTCTGCTGCGTGGTACTGTATTACACGGGAGGCTTTACGGACGGAGGGATCTGGTTTTTGTTCGGTAGGATGGAAGTGGGTGGCGGTCCTGAGCCCTCTGAAAAGAGAAGCCTCCTGTACTTGCACGAGGTCTTTTGTTTGGGGGCCTGTGTGTTTTGACAAGCCTAAGAGGGGGAAAGACAATAGAGAGGCCATGGCTGTATCCTGACAGGTTTGTGCGGTACATGTAGGCTGCTACCCTCCACTTGTGTTGTTCTCCACCGTCATCGACAAATCTCTCTTTCTCTCCTTGTCACAGCTGTATCAGATTTGTTTTAATAAGCGCTTGAATTAGCACCTATTTGATTAGAATCCATTTAATTGCCGCTTGGCAGAATGTGTTGTCGCATGTGTCTTCAATGTGTGCCTCTTGTTTGTATGTTACGTGTGTTCTCCTCTGTGTGCGTGTGTGGTCTTATTTGTGTGTGTCGATTATTGTGTGTATGTGTCTGTATAAGTGGCTGTGATGAAATGCTTGCCTACTTGGCGGCGTCTGAACATTTAAGTGTCAAAGTGCCATCTTTGCAACGTCAGCCCACTAGGGTCACTACATTAATGGGATCTGCCGAGGCCCCTGCCCCTGTTTTCATAGCCCTGTGCCTGGGGGGGGGGGGGGGGGGGGTGGGGGGGGGGGGGGGGGGGAGGGGGGTGGGAGGGGGGGGGGGGGATGGGTTGGCGACTAGCAAAGCTGGACATTAACTCAGACGGCTTAAATGGGATTAGTGGTGTCACTGAGACAGATGTGATCTTTGCAGCCACAGCTTTCCTTCTCTTTCTCGCTCCGTTCAGTTCTGCTGTGATACAACACTGACCCCTGCTGTAGTAGAGAGTTATTGCACCCACATACATGAGGGGCTGGTGGATGATGCTGTGTTAACCCTTTGCTAGATTGCATCACATTGTCCATTGGGGGTCACTGTTCCCATTTGGAAAAGATGGTGGGAGGCCTCGCCTCTCCTGCCATTTTGACTGCCTGATGTAAAGTACGTCTGGGTTTGCAATATTGAACCCAGGCGGTGGATCTTCTGCAGGTTCCATCAACATGTTTCCTGCAGCGTCTTGTAATGGATGCTTAATGTGGCTTCAAATATTGCCATGAAAACATCGTCGGAGATAATGAAATAACACCGGAACACCAAGGCTCATGTGTGGGTTGTGTATGCCAGCGCCATCACTCATATTAGCTCATTAAAACAGCAAGTAGCGCTGCTGCACAAGGTCAGATTTATCCATATCCAGAAATCTCCTTGCGTCAAGCATGTCCTATAATTACAATGTCACCAATATAAGGACAGCCGCTTAAACAAGATATATTTAAAATGTTCAGCTCTGTGCGTTTCAATGGGTGGTGATTTAGGGGATATTGTGCAGACTTATATGCCTTCCAGCGGGCAGCATGTGTTTGGTTCCTTCTTTCCTGTTTTAAAGGCCATTCACACAGTAGCAATTGAACCAAGGTCTATAATTGTGTTTTCATGTACTATAGATCCTGTCATTAGGCCCCTGGGTCTGCGGGCAGTCGTATGATGACAGCTGACAAGGGGGCGCGGCTCCTTTTGAGGAAGAGGGAGGGGGACCACACGCACAAAAGCCACAATTACTTCCTGGACAGTCCCCAGAGCTCAGTGGTTTGAGTGTGTATGTAAAATGATGTGGGATAGGCCATTTGCAAAACAAAGAAGGGGGGGGGGGGGGGGAATGATTGCTTTTGCACAATAGAGCATGTACACCCCGAGGCAGAGGGTTGAAGTGGCAGACTGGGACACGCCTCCTAGAAGTCGCAGGGGAGCTGGATCCAGATTTGGGGGGGGGGGTTCTTGTCGTTGACCTCTTGGAGGGGAGAGGGTCAGGGCTCATATCACCAGCCCTGAGGGAAGGAGATGGCCCGAGGGGTAGAACTCTCCGAACATTTGGGTGTGAAGCACCGTGTATGTTCAGACTGAAGTCACATGTTCACAGTATATGAGCACAATTAGTATTATACAACTTATTATAAGGCATCTCCAAGATATTGTAAAGATCCAGTTTGTGTAAGATAGTTTTTATTTAATGTGTGTAGGCGCAGATGTCCATATTTAACCGAGGCCAGATTATTCATTTTAAAATAAACTTCTGTTCGGTTCCAACAGAACCAAATGACTCAGAACCAAATGACTGTAAAGAGTCTTTAAAAATGATTTTTAAGTATTTTCCCTTAATTAGATAGCACACAGTGGGAAACATCAGGGACTAATTGGAAGGTGTGGCATGTGATTGAAGTCAAAGGCCAGACGTGAGCTGTGACACTGAGCCACAGACATAACAACATCACCAATTAGCAGTGCGTCATTGCAATACTGATCTGATGATATCTGAGCGGTGCAGCAAGCTGTGAGCACGTTCTGCGTGGTCACAAGGGTGAATTACTCTGGTCGCTCTCAGTTTAATTAATGAGCCGGTAATGGTAGTATAATTGCTCTTTAAAGCGGAGTCCCCTCTGACACTGATGTAGCGCAGGACCGTATCACCAGACTCTCTTCAAATGCCCAGGTCGGCTCCCACAGGTCTAGTCTTCACCGGAACCCCCCAAACCGCCAAAACCCCGACCTCCGCCACTGCTGCAGCCACAGAGGGATACATAGGACTCACACTGGAGCACATGAAATATTCAGCAGCAATTTCCCCCACCTTTTGAAATAATATCTTGAAATGTTAATGCCCTTCGACTGCTTGTTTTAAGTGGACGGCATCCCAAGGTGCCTGTGTTTGGACTGCGCCGGTGTGCGGGGCTCCGGACTTAAACTGCTGTCGGTGTGAAAGTAATACGCTACACTGGAGAATTACCACAGCCTGGCACTTGGGTCAAGAGGGGAATGCTATTTTTAGAGCCAGACCCCCACAACACCCGTAGACACACATGCCCTAACATCTTCATATGACTTGCACACACATAATGCACTTACACACAGACCTACATGAGTTCACATATGCAGATACACATACAAATATGTGGCTGCACACACACACACAGATACACATTGTAAATATCTAACACACATGCATACACACAGAAGCACAAGACACTGCATGCCCACACGTGTCACCTCTGACATTGATTTTCATTAGATTCACAATGGCTGGCATGTTGACAGTTTCACCAGCGTCCTTGGTTCTAAATGTGTCTATTATCAAAGGATTACACAAGCGCAGGGTTTTTACAGTGACAGGCCATGATCAGATATCCGCTGCCATTAGCCTGGCCTCACCCAATAGGCGCCTCTTCAACCTGATCCTGCCAGAGACATTGCGATGTTATCAGGTCCAGTGATGCCTCCATCACCTGATACACCCCGTGGATTAGTACGGGACTTGCCACCGGCTGTTCTGTGGTGAGGAAGTATTAGAGTGTCTGCAGCTGACACGGATCAGTGCAAATATTAATGCTGTGAGCTAAAAAAAAAGTCAAAGGCAAATCAAGATTGTTTTTCTTTTTTGGTCAGCTAGAAGCGCACACGCGCACACACACACACACACACACACACACACACCCTTTTTTAGATTTTCTTCTGCTCACAGATGCAGTGAGCCTTGCAGAGGGACACACACTTGGCTGCACAGTCCCTCCATGTGCTGTGCCCTTCAGACCTGACAGCAAGGCATTAAATATTAGTGGCGTTTTACGGCGGGTTTGTAACATGGTTATTCCAGTCAGTGGGCTTACCGTCCCAGTGTCTGTGCCCACTTTGGTTTTGGCTTTGGTTTTACAGCGCTGGTACAAAAGGCTATCTTGAGGGAGGCAAACCTGCATGTGAGACACAAGCATACTACTGTATGTATCAGCCCGTATTCTGCAAACATGCAGAAGCACATGTCATGTATCTATAAAGCAGGATAACAGTCACATGCAAGAAAAACTACATTTGAGATAGTTCAACGTGGGTCATTTTGAGGCTGTAGTACAAAACAATGGGTCATAGTTAATTGCAATACAACATTATTGCTTTAATTAAAGTGGCATTGTTCTGGGTAACATGGTGTGTATATTTCCTGCAAAATACACAGCATTTAGTTTAAAAGTTGAAACTATCAGAACTTTTAATGTAAGTGATGCAAAGAGAAATGTATGTTTAGCCACTGTCTCCAAGTAGAGCACATGGTGTACCTTGGGATCCTCTCCATGAAAATCACAAACAGAATCAGTGACGAGGGACGACCCTGGTGGAGACAGACACACTGGAATCATGTTTGACTTTGTGCTGAATGTACATACACAGCTCTCGTATCAACAACCCTGTTACCCCATATTCCCGCAGGACTCCCCGGGGGACACGGCCTTCTAAAAGTCCACAAAACACATGTTGACTAGATTGGCAAATTCCCATGACCCCACCAACATCCCTGCAAGGGTAGAGCTGGACCCCACTGTTTCACGGCCAGGACGAAATCCACATAGCTCCTCCTGGATCGGAGGTTTGACAATTCCAGCACCCCAGAATAAACTTTCCCAGGGAGGCTTGTGCTGTGTGATACCTCAATAATTGGAGGACACCCTCCGGCCCCCCTTTTCAAACATGGGAACCACCCACTGTCTGCCACTCCACAGCTAAGGCCCCCTACCTCCACGCTACACTAAAGAGGTGTGTTATACAAGGCGGCTCAGAAATGTCCACAGCCTTCAGCATTTACGGACAAATCTCATCCACCGCAGATCAGATCAGCGACTTCTGCCAGGGATAGGATTGAGTCTTCCTTGTGTCTTCAAACTCTGACTCCTCCATAGAGGCTGTGTTGGTTGGGTTCAGGAGTCCCTCAAAGTGCTCTTTCCACCGCTCGACAATATCCTCAGTCTGGGTCCGCAGTTCTCCTCCCCCTGCTGAAGACAGGGTTTTTGCTTTGGCGAGCGCTGCAGCTCTTTTCAATACTTTTGTTAATTAAATGTCGTCTGACTGTGTGGAGTATCCTCTATACACTTGGAGCAGCCAGCAATAGCTTATTTGATAGAATAGACAGGACTTCTTTCATCAGTCGGACAATGGTGACAGGCTGCATTCCTAATAGTTCAGTTATTCTGTGGTCATTTAATTAGCAATGTGGAGACAAGAGAAGTGCGCAGGCCAGGTCCTGCTGTTTGTCCAGAGGGCTTTGAAAGACAAGTACTGCCACCTTTAGTCTGGTACGCAAGTTTTTCAATTAACACCAACAATGGAGCAAGAGGAGGCACCACAGGCAGGGCCAGGTGGGGGAATTAGTTAGCTATTCAGCAAGAAACGCTTGCATGTCTTGCCACATGACAACCTCGCTGACATGTCTGGCCTTTGGGTGGCGCAGAGGGGTTTGTTGCAGCAAATGACAGTGACCTCCCCAATGCCCCGCTCCCCCGCCACCTCCTGGTGCGATTGATTAAGCATAATTGGAAGGAGACAGAAGCTGAGGCAAGTGGTGCTAAATAAATTTGGGTAGTGTTAATTGCAGATTCCTCTCTGCCTGTGTGTGGCAGCGTGCGGGGTAGAGAAACACTTAGCCACCGGCTGACAATGGAGGATTAATTGGACTCCTCCAATGAACATAATTAGACTGATTGTTGAGAGAGATAAGGCAAAGGTTTTATGAGTGCAGTAGCACT